CCAGTCCACTCAGCCCTGGACAGGCTCCCAGCCCCTCTGTGCACGTAAGTGGGGCAGGGGAGAACGTGCCCACAGACATGCCCACCACTCAGAGTAGGGATGCTGCCCAGCAAGGTATGGGGTGGGAAATGGGAGCAAAATGGCACCTCCTCCCCACACACTTGCCTCTCACCCCAGCCATGCAGATCAACACAGCCGTCAACTCTGCCACCAGCCTGCTAGATCAGTTCCATGAGAAACGCCGCCTCCTCATCATCTCGGCTCCTGACCCCTCTAACCGCTACTACAAGATGCAGATCTCCATGCTTCAGGTGAGGAGACCTTCCCACTGCCCCATTTCCCACACCCCCTCCCCAGCACCCTCTCACCACCCACCCCCTCCACAGCAAGCAGCCTGCGGGCTGGACCTGCGTCATGTGACCACCATCGAGCTGGTAGGGCAGCCCCCACACGAGGTGGGACGCATCCAGGAGCACCAGCTGTCCCTCAGCATCATTGAGGAGCTCAGGTACGGGAACTGGGGCTGTCCTGCAGAGCTCAGTGCCTGTGGGAAGGGAGCTGGGATGGTGACTTCTGCAGGGATGGCAAGGCATAGGGTTGTAGCTGGGTTCACGGTGAGTCCACATACAGTGTCTCCAGACCCTCCTGGAGCTCAGAGCCCTGAGAAAGAGATGGGAGCCACCACTCCAGGAGGGCCTGAGGATAGGCAGGCTCAGCCCCAACCCACAGTCCCCCCAACCCTGACCAGTGGCTCCCTTCTGCACCCCCAGGCAATTCCTGCACCTCACTCGCTCCCACTTCAATGTGGTGCTGCTGGACAAGGCAGGCATTGACCGTGAGCGCTACATCTCCCCCATCAACCCTGATGAGCTCTTTGTCTTCATTGACACCTACCTGCTGAGTGAGCAGGAGACGGCATGGCGGGCGCAGAGTGGGGACCCCTGCGAGTGAGGCGGCACTGGGGAGACCCCCCCTTCACCACCACCAGCCTCAGGGGAGAGATACCTTCCTTTCTGCTTTTCTAGTTGCCCACTGTAGAGGAGGACTGTGGTGCTGAGGACCCCTCCAGGGGAAGGGGAAGCCCCTCTCTGGCTGCTCTGGCACAGAGAAACGAGCAGGAATAGGGATGGGGACAGGGACCATGTCCTGGCAGCATCCCCACTGCCCAGCAGCAGCCTCCAGCTGTGAGGACGGATGACTCAGCCCAACGAGGACCACAGCAGGAGACACCAAACTGCCTCTGCTCAAACCCCAGGGTAGAGGGGAGGACAGAGAGCCAGCACTGGGCTGCCAGAGCAAAGTGGGTAGGGCAGGCAGGGCCACAGTCTCTAATACAGCAGTTTCAACCCTCCCCACAGCCATCCTCAACCCCATGCACAACCTAAATCCACTCCCTCCCCACCTGGGGTCAGCCCTGCAGGGCAGGTGCTGCTGCCAGGGTCCTGCCAGGGTCCTGCTGCAGCTGCCAGAAAGCCTTTAGTAAAAGCAAATGGCCCCACACTCAGCAGCCAGTAGCAGCCCCCAGCACGCAGCCCTACCCCTCGCTTCCCCTTCCATCAGCCACAGGGCAACCCTTCCCGGGAACTGCTTTGGCAGTATAATATTAACTCTAAATAAATAAATTTGTATAAAAGGCAGTGCTGGCAGAAGGTGTGTCGCAGAGAAGCCCAGGAAACAAATCCTTCTTGGGGGCCACTACCACTAGCCTCCCCTGCACAGCTCCATCCTAGCCCCACAGCCAGGGCTGGGGCGAGGCTGTGCATGGCTGCCCCAGTCCTGGAGCTGTCAGCATCCTGTGGGAGGAGGGTCGGGAAGACAAGGAGGGTGCAGAGTGTGAAACAGAGGGCGCAGAGGAAGAAGAATGGAAAGAGGAAAACAACCCAACCACATTTGAAAGCATTTTGCCTTGGGGTGAAAGAAGGGAGAGTCCACAAGGTTTCCAGTTCAGCCTGAAATTTGGTGCAAAGCCTAACACAAAAGGAAAACCCTTTAAACCAAGCTAGGCCAAGAAGACTTCCTGCCCAGGCCTGTTTCAAGAGGGTCATGTTTATTAAAGTATAAGCAAAAATAATCACTAAGTGTGGCAGCTTGCGAGTGCAGCTCCTGAGCTGTGATGCCAGCCCTCGGCTGACTCTCAGTGCCACAGCCTACGGCCTCAGCTTGGCCATGGTGGAGCGGAGCTGGAGTGTCCCCTCTGCCCACGAGCCGGGGTACTGGCGCATCTTCTGCCACAGGTTCAGCTCCTCACCTGTGGAGTCCATCCAGTCCACAGCCTGCCCATGGCTCATGCCTGGGAGAAAGGATGGACATGGGCAGAAGTTACTGCTGGAGTAGCCTCCTGCCCACAGCAAGGCAGCCCTGAGCAAGGCTGCTTGTCCCCAGCGTCTGATGGGATCCCAGGGCTCCTCACCGTTGCCCACTCCGAGACGGACGCCCCCAAGGAAGTCATTGCTGGACAGTGGCTCCCGGTCCCAGACCGTCAGCTCCAGGCAGATATGCTGCAGATCCTCAGGGTTGACACCATTGTAGACAAAGGTGTGGTTGTAATGTGGGTTCAGGGTCTTCTTCACCACAGGTGTCTTCCTCTTGAAGGCTTTGTTTTTCTGTGGCAGAAGGTAGCTGGGGGGAAGCAGACCCTTGGGTTAGCAGCACATGTGCAACTGCCTTCTGCCCCAGGGACTGGGGCACCTCCATATCCCAGGACCTGGTCTGCAGCCCACCTTCCCTGACATGGCCCAGGAATGGCCATGAGGGTTTGCAAGGGGCTAGGTCTCCGTCTTGACTCCTGAAAAGCTGCTTGGCATGTCATCTGAGGGGAGAGGGCAAGGACCACAGCCTGCTCATCCCCATTGCTACCTGGTGGCTTGGTGACCTCTAGGAAGTCAATGTGATGGCAGCTGGATCCATGCCCTGCATGCAGCCTTCCACTGTCATCTCTCAGCTGGTCAAAACCCTGGAGAGTGTTCACTACCAGGAGCATCTTGTCTCCAGGCAGAGATGGGCAGCTGGTGACTTTCAGGGCACCAACACAGGCAGTGTGGGGCAGCTAGCACAGAGACCATCCCTCCTCAAAGCAGCTCCGGGATGCAGCTAGAGAGAACAATTGCCCCCCCACCCAGGACCCACACTCACCCCTTGACAAAGGTGTCTGATGTCCCCCCAGATTTGGCAGCTGTGAGGTTCTTGGCTTCTTTGATCCAGACCTGGAGCTCACCACCTTCCCCTGTTTTCCCTGGGAAAAACCCAAACACAGCAAGAATTAACCTTCATTTCCACCACCACTGACTTCTGGAAAGGTCCTGCTGA